TCGTTATTGAAAGTTGATCCGCGCTAATGATGTTACTTGTGGTGTTGATGAAAGTACATTCAAATGAATGTACATTTTCTGGAACAGCAAAAGGTGTAATATGAAGATTTACATAACTAAACAATAACTCGTTGATGGTATTTGTTTGTGTTTCATTCGTGTTGAGTTAATGGGTTTTTCTCGAAGGGCTTCTCAAGGTACTTGAACAATTACGCTCTTCGTGGTAATCTCTCTTTTGTTTAGCTAATTCCTACAATGGAGTTATTTTAATTCTTGCTAAAATAGAAAAAGGTGACACTGACCGCTTTCGGCATATCACTTGATGTACTAAGCTGTTTAAACTTTTCGCTGGCAAATTTGGTCAACAAATGCGTCAGGATCGTTTTTGGCAGAGACAAAGTCAAATCATCAAAAAAACGCACGTAAGTAACTCTGTTCTTCATCCAGAAACCTCGCCACGCTCTATTGATTATCATATATTTTGATATTTTAAAAACAAGAACATTTCTTTAATGATAGGACTAAAAGAAGTCAGTTGAAAGAGTGCCGATTTTAATTTTCTATACATTTTTCTAAGTGTAGAATTTTTAATAGGATTTTAAGAAATATGCAAAGAAAAGCGAAAGCGTTCCAACACGAAAGCTCTTAATTCATTATTTTCGTTTTCATGCACTCTTGAATGGTTTTTCGAGTATCTTAGATATAAAATCCATCACAGCAATCTTGGATAAAGTGGTTCTTCTGGCTGCTCGATATTTGGATAAAAAAATTCAGTCCATGCTCTGATATTGGTTTGAACATCTGCTGATCTAAGCCAGGACATGGCTAACTCACAGATCCAACCCAGAAACAACCTCTGGGCTGATCTAAGTCAGGGCATGGCTAGCTCACAGATCGAACCCTGAAACAACCTCTGGGCTGAACAAAGTCAGGGCATAGCTCACAGATCAACGCCTGATCTAAGCCAGAGCATGCATGGCTGGAAAGACTCTAGAAAACAAAAGACTTGACTCCAGCTTGATTCCTTGCACTAATGGATCACTCTACCTTCTTGTAAGCGCACGATCTGACTGATACTATGAAGAAATATCCACAGTACTTCCACAACTCATTGCTTGTTAAGATGTCGGAATTTAGTAAAGGTTCTCATGTATAATAGAGATAAGACTGAATAGGCATAGAGGGCTCAGCATTTATCGACTTTAATAATGGTGAAGTCGCAAATAATTCGTAAATATTTAATGTGATATTGGTTTACATGTCATTTATTAATTTCGTTCGTTCGTTCGTTCGTTCGTTCGCTCGTTCGTTCATTACGTGTGTTTTCTTCTAATCTCGGTTCATCATAAATTCAGTTCACAAGCCGAATACTCTGGTTAATCAATTAAATGCTTTGTTTAGATCCAAAACTTGACCTTAAACCTGGTCATTCTACAACTTCAAGAGCGCCCTACACATGTTTATAGCGAGAAGCTTCTAAAATTTCACAACTAGATAAAGTATTTCCATAAAACCCTCAATGCCAAGCTTTTATCTTCTCATGTTGAGTTGTTTGTGAGTGATCTCTTTGTGGCTTTGCTCCGGCTTTTGCCCTTTGGACTATATAATGCTTTCATCGCAAACCACTGGCACATGAAACCGGAAAACAAGCTCTATAGTAATAATAATAATAACAATAACAAAAATAATAATTATAATTTTTATTATTATTGTTATTGTTATTATTATTATAATTATATATAATTGAATATATAATATAAATGTGATTGGGAGTCCGGGAATCCAACCCGAGACCCCAGATGTGAGAGGAAAGTGTAGTAATTGTAGCTAATGGCTCTCAGCAGTTTTGTTTAGTGCTTAAAGAAGGTCAGCTCTCTTCAGGCAAAGTTCTAGAAAGTCTTCTACTCTGAGTTGGTTTGACAAACTTCATGCATGAATTAAAGAAAAATATCTTTTTGTTGGTTTATATTATAGAAAACCAAATGCAAAATAAAATTATACATACTTGGCGGTTTTATTGCCATTCTTGGATACTTTCTCTCCAACATTTTGTCAGACTTTTTCTCCAGAATAGCTAGTAAGCCTTGCGCGGGGGTTTTATCACTTCCCGTGGGCCACGATATTTCTGACATGCTGCGCAATAGATTATTTAAAATGTTTTAAGTCGAATTCTCGCAGATTCCTGTCTAAAGTTTTCTGGCTTTGACTGGATCTAATCATTAGATTGAAATATATCGAACGTATAAACTCAATCTTAGAACGCGTTGGCATTTCATTTCATTGTGGGACTATTTTAGGGGGCATTTTTCACAGATTGCGTCTATTTCGTCCCCTAAAGGCCGGTTTAGACGGTACGATTTTCGCCTACAACTATCGTATACAACACGCACCATCCTACGACTCGAGTCGTAGCGTTTTTCCTCAACCTCGTTGTGCGTGGCTAATAAAGCTAATACTCCTTCTTGGTGACAGAAATATTTATTATTCAAAGATCTAGATAATCGTATACAATATGAAAAATCTTCTTAGCTTGCAGACAAAATATTTTTAAAAAACAACATAAAATCCTTTTGAAAAGATCTAAGGTTTTAGATTCAAGTTGAATTATACCTTTAGTGTTTTGACCCATGATGCAATTCGGTGACAATATCTCAGTATGACCCTCCCTTAGAGCCCTCAAGCAACATTTCATTTCGAAATAGATTGATCAAGATTTTAATTTAGTCTATTGTTTCTTGTTTTGATATCAATAGCCTCCAGCCTCTAAATAGATTTAAACTCCTTGATCTTTTTTATAGCTTCAATTTCGTGCAGTTGTTTTTTGTTTTTTTTTCTTTTTAATCTGTAAAGTATTGTGACACCGAATTTTTGTTTGCTGGCTGCTGCGCCAAAACACTTCTTTAAACGGTTTTCATCTTTCTTTCAAGTCTAAAAGATAGATAGTTGAAATCGTTTGGAAATCTTTGTTTGCACGTGAAGTCATAACCGCCATCTTGGATGGATTTAACCAAAATAAATGTCAATGAATTCATGATCATTTGTAATATCATCCAACATGGCCGCCGTGTGTTTTGTTTTTTCACTCCCCTACCAGCAATCCAATCGTCTTAGCCGGTAACGATCAAAGCTTAGAAATTTACTGAGGTTATTAAAACACTAAAAACAATAGCTTAGGAGGCAATAAAACGGAACTTTAACAGCGCAAAATCCAAGCAGTTATTCAAAACAAAAAAACCATAAATTTCAATCACTGGCATACACTTTAGATTTTGTTCTCTGATTAAAATGAGTCGTTCTCTGATGCCATACTTAAGAAAAGCGTCACCGAAAGCTCTTCGAGCTTCGGATTTTATGAAATAGCTAGACGACAATTCCAAAACAATTTTATATCGGGTCAGATTTCATTTAAAAAATGATCAAAGATAAGGAATAAAACTCATGTTTTAATTTTCGTTTTTCTTAAAATATCAAAGTGACCCTCGATAATCGATACATCTTGCGTGGCTCTCTAGAATATCGTTATTGTTTTTCTGCAGAATGAAGAATCGTTTTCCCATTTTATAATAGTCAAGTTTAAATGTCACTATCCCTTGTCTGTTTGAAGTCCTTATCATAAATGAGTGAATGATATATTAAGGAAGTATATTTGATTCGTCAAATAGTCCATAATTGAGAAAATTATTCCGTATTCAGTCAGAGGATAACAGAGAAAGATATCTCGAGTGACTGAGAAGCTTGGAGCCTTACCGCTGCTTCACAACAAAACAGAATTCTTAAATCGCTGTTTACTTAATGAAGATAAACATTCATATCAGGTACGTATCAATATTTTTGATGTTGTTTGTGAGCAAAAACTTCCCAAAGGGAATGTTCACAAAGTGACGGTTGTACTTCCTATATATTTTAAGGGAAACTCGCTGAAGACCAGCTTTAAGTCCTCTGAGTTTTAAGTTACTTTTTAAAAAAAAAACAAGAAAGCGAACATTTTCCCCTTTATGGCTGACCAGATCTTTTTCAAAATTCGATGCCTCATTCCTCAATATATAGAATTTTTTTGCTCTATAAATAATGGCAATGGCTCAAAAAATATAAACTCTGCTTTTCAGAACTGAAGTATAAATATAAATAATATAAAAATAAATATGTACGTATTCAGTAATAAAAAATGGATCAAAACAAATAGTAAGGATTTTGAATACGTTCATTTCCGTTTTGCTTGATCATATATAATAATTTGTCTTTTCAATATAAGCTGAATAAATACTCTGTCGACGCAGGGGTTGTTTTTTTAAATTAAAGGTATTTTTTCTCTCTTTCTTTTTTTATTTTTTATTTATTTATTTATTTATTTGCTGT